GGGGGGGGTCTCAAGAGAACGCATTGGCCACTCCAAGGACATTGACCTCTGCCTCCACAATGCAAACGTCCTTCAACAGAAAACCCATGTTTGGTTGCCGGAACTTGCTTAAGAGAATGAATCTAAGCCCTCCAACTTCTGGGTTGGATGCAGTAAACCAGTATGAAACTGCCAACACCAAAACAGGAAAAATCTTTCATTGTGATGGAACTGAATTGTTTGTATTTCACCATAATGTACACACTACCTTTTCCAGAATGATGCTTCGAATGCTCCTGATCTTGCAGGCGCAACGTTACCTCTGCATATATTTTTGTAGCAGGATGTAGCGTTGTGGGATCTGCCAGTGCCAGAAAAAATGAAAGATGGCTGCCTTTGCAACTGCCTCTTCCATTTGGATACACTCGAAGTTTCCTGCAATGACGGGGTACGTATGAGTGGGTTGGGTTCAAACCTGATGAGTTAATTATTGGAATGTCCATGGAAGGAAGATGGCTACCATTTTTGATCCCCCGCGTTGAAGATTCTGGACTCGTGGCACTCGGCATCCAGCTTGGAGAAGTTGTCAATCTTCCAAATATGCTTGTGAATGATGGGACTCTTTACCATTGACAAACACTCCCCTTTGCCGCCTTTGAAATTTTCTTTGCAAACAAAGACCTCAGCTCCAAACACACACGTATCGTCCACCAGATACCCATTTGAGGACTCATTGAATTCTTTGAGGCTAATGTATTTATCAATACCCCATTCTTTCTTCATTCCTCGAAACCGCCTAGGCTTCATCTTGCCATCTTCACATTCAGATATAATTGTTAGTATTAGTATATTATAGACACCTCATTTCTTCAAGGCAACAGAAGATATACCTTCAACTGTGAGGTAGTTATCGTTGTTCTGATCAAGCAAAAAAAGTCGATAAATGACGAACATTTCCCAATTTGTTTGTAGGGAGTCTGTCCCTGCAATCGCCAAATAGAGAGAGATGTGGTCGTCCCCATTTTTACTTTTGTTTCCAAGTGGGTGGACTACCAATTTCCTGCAACCGCATTCCATGTTTAGGACAATGCACAGAGCAATTCAAGCTCGAATTTAAGAAGATAAAAGAGGCTAACATATATCGTTTACCATTTGTATCCACCTGCCTCAAACTCCCCGGATTCGTACCTATCCACACAGTTCTTGGCTAACAATGAAAACGACTCGATCTTGACCGTGTAATGAGCTGGTGGGACATCGGAAACATATCTTGCGATCTCTGCACGTTATTTCATACTGGTAAGAAAGCAAATAATCTTGCCTCTTGTGAATAAATTCTTTATCATCATGACTACGCGTACATGGGGGGGGGGGGGGGGGGGGNGGGGGGGGGGGGGAGGAGAGAGAGAGATACCGTCCATATCATCACCAAGGAGATTGGCCATTGCTAAAGGGAGTACAATAAAAGGAACTGTATGGTTCAACACAGGGTACAATGCCCAAATGATGGGGGTTTAGTTAGTGAGATTATGATGCCTGAAAACCATCCTCCCTCTTATATGGTTTCCGAGACGTGCCAAAGCATTACTTTCTGCCGTTATGAAAGTAATATTCTGTGCTTGCAGTCGTCAACACAACATGGCAAACGATTATACCTATCAAAAAACGGGGTTCAAGGAATAAGAATCTTCGCTCTTGTAACCCCTCCCAAGCTACATATCTTCATCAACCAAAAGTTATATGATACCCCTGCCTTTTCCATACCCACAACCACTTTTTTCCTTTTCTTTCATTTTCTTAAAATATTATTTTTATTCTCTTTCAATAGATCTTTAACCTTCAAAACAATAACAATAATGCGTTTCACCAAAATGCGGCCACCCTCATAGTGACTACTCATAAGTATTCACACCTTTGCCAACAAATAGAACAAAACTAAGATGAAATCATTTCCCTTTTCTCCAACCATCATAACATGTCTAACAACAAATTTTCATGTAACCATCTTCTGTTCCAACGACAAATAATCTTGAATAACGAAGAATACTAATGCTAGACAATACTGATAAATTTCTTGTTCCCTGGTCCACGCTCGAGAGATTCTGAGGTATAATTCGATATTGTCCATCCTGCGCATGATGGGTCCACTTAGTTAGATTTAACACGAATTATGTCCAACTTGTGCACAACTAAAATCTTATAAAAAAAAACTAAAACCCGTTTGATAATCATTTGGTTTTTTACCAAGAACTAAATTTTTAAGAAATATGAAATTTATAGCAGAAAAAATGAGCCTGCACAATTTTCAAAATCCAAAAACTAGATGGTTACCAAGCAAAGCTTGAGAAAACTTATAACCAACGGCACAATTCTGAGCGACTGTATACCAAAGTTAAGGACATCATATTTTTTCCACCAAACTTAGAAATGATTTATTGGAGATGAAGGGTTTCATAGAAATTGTGTTATAGCATCCCGATACTAAGTCTACTTCCAATTTCATAATAATAGTGCACCTGAACCAATCCTATTGAAAGGAAAACTCTTATTGTATAAAGTACATGACCGACTGACAAGAACATGTTCAAAAGTGTTCAAGACTTACTTCATCCGCAGATTTCGACAAAGATGACAGCCCAATCTTGTTTCTGGAAATTGAGATGACGTCTTGGCCCCACATCGAAAAGCTAGATACACCATCATTATGACCCCTCAATATAATTGGCGTTGATGGGGAAAGCCTACAAAAGAAATAAGAAAGGCTGTCATCCAAGAAATATAAGCAATATTATTTAAGAAAATAAGTCTAATTGGATCTAAAATATGGTTCCTTTTGCTGATATGTTGGCAATCCAGAGCTCCTTAACGTATTACAATTATAGTATTGCTGGAGAGAATTGAAATTAAAAGCATCCTTTCTTTTGCTGCCTACAACTTATTTTCCTCTGCCAGACAACTTTCATGATCGAAGAACAGATGAATTGTCAGAAATCAAACTAACGTAATCTAACTAAAAACTTCTATTAACTACTCAACTCAGTGCAAGCGCATATAGTTTGCATAAAAATTTGCACAAACCTTCTCAGATCCCAAATTCGTAAAGTCCGGTCAAGAGAGCTAGAAACAAGCATATGATCTTCTGGTGCAGCCAACTGGAAGCATAGAAGGCAAATCAAACTCAAGATCATCCTACAGCTGTTTTTCTTAAGCATGTTAAAATTACCTTGGTTACATATCCATCATGTGCCCGCCAAGTGGCTATAACATTTCCACTCCTCGCATCAAATAGCCTACAATACCCTGAACTTAGGCCAGCTGCAATCCAGGAAGGCATAGCCGAAGCACCATCTGCAACCATTTTGTCAAATCCACAAGAGCAAATAGTCGAGACAAGAGAAGGAAAACCAGACTCAACGCCATCTCCTCTCCATAGATGAAGCTTTTGACCTTGAGAAACATCAATAAACCTGTGGAAAAATAATCATCCATAAGATAATCAGCATGAGTTTATTTTATTCTCATATAAATGAGCTTTAAAATCAATCTGAAAACCAAATTATGTTTACACCTCAGAGAACCATTCCCAGTGCCCACTACAAGCTTTTCAGCAAATTCTATATGGTGCATATATGTATACAAGCTTCCATCAAATGCACTAGTCAGTATTCCATTGGACAATGAATTGGAACTTATCGAGTTGGCATGGTCAGCATTTGTCTTTAAGACAGAAGATAAAGGGCTTGCAAGATGTGCAGAATCCACTGATGACTCTGCAAATACTGATATGAGCTTTCCTGATCGGCTATTCCAGACATGTATAGTTCCATCACAAGAAGCTATTCTTCCAGTAGGCGACAAAACACAAATGTCATTGACAACCTATAAGTTTCAGAACAAAGTTAAAAATAATCACGAACTCCATAACCAATAACAAACGGGAAATTTTGAATATAACTGTCAATTGATTTCTGAATTCCGAAGGACTCAGAGAAAAACAATCCATGTTATTTAATCAAGAAAAATAAGGTCTCATTATGATCATAAAAGGAGGAAGAGAAAGAAAAGAAAGAAGAAAACCTCTTCATGGCCATAATAACCAGAAACACAGTTAACTCCAGACAACTCCCACCTCTGAACCATTCCTTTGAATCCAGATCCTATTCCAGCGGTGAAAACATTAAATTCATCTGGACAAATGGCCAAAGATCTTACTGCCCCATGATGCGCACGAACTGAGTAAATAACAGATGCTTTAATCTTCCATGGAAGTTCTTCTTTCAGACCGACCGCACGGCCAAGAAAATCAGGTCCATCCCAGCTAGATGCTATACTAGGGAGCCAAAACCAGGGTTCAAGCTGTATAGAGTGACATATTGATGCATGCATTTGCATGGAACCTTGATGAACATCATGGAGCCGTCTTAGGGGCATCAAGTTTTTGGCACCTTGAGCCCTTTGTGATTGAGGGATTGACCACCCTACACCATTAAGTAAAAGTTTGGCAGGACTGTATTCACTAGTTGAACCCTTACTGAATTCAGTCTTCTTACTCATTAATTTATCTGAACTGCTTCGGGATGACTCCCCTGTACATTCCCACTAAAGCAAAGATACCTTAAGAGATGTGCATAAACAAATCGAAATGCAGGCTTAATTATATTTTGATTGAATAAACAGAAGCGTAATCCAAGACCATCCTAAAAAGCTACTCCTACCTTCCAGTGATGGTACCTAAGAAGATATTGCTCAAGAAGCAACCATGTAGTACAACACTGTCGGAGCTTTTCTATCCCAAGAATAGATGCAAAAGTAGGATACAAAATCAGTCTGCAATTTCAAAGTAAAGATATGAGTTATGAGAGAACAAAACTTCAGTGTTTAATGAGGGTCAAGATAGTGCTAACACAAGGT